AATCAAACAGAGTCTCTGTAAGACAAAATAGTACCCAAATAAGTTCAAACTCTAATCAAAATTCAGATCAGTCTCATTTTCCAAGAATTTCTTTTATATCANCCCAATTTGGGTCGTCCCTAAGAAAATGGATGCCTCCGGTAAACAAAAATGGCGAGTTGTTGTAGATTACCGGAAGCTTAATGAGAAAACAATTGATGATAAGTATCCCTTGCCAAATATAACCGATTTACTAGATAAACTAGGTAGATGCCAATATTTTTCGACTTTAGATCTTGCCAGCGGTTTCCATCAAATTGAAATGTGTGAGGAAGACATCGAAAAACACAGCATTCAATACCGAAAATGGGCATTACGAGTTCCTCAGGATGCCATTTGGTCTGAAGAATGCTCCCGCGACTTTTGAACGAGTGATAGAGAATATCCTTAGAGGTATTCAAAACGAAAAATGCTTAGTTTATTTAGATGACATAATCATCTTTTCCACATCTCTCCAAGAGCATATCGAAAGACTCAAAGAGTCAAACTTCAAAATCTAACTTGAAAAGTCAGAAGTTTTACGAAAAGAAGTGCCTTATCTTGGCCATATTGTTACTCCGAACTTTGTCAAACCAAATTCGGATAAAATCAAATGAATAAAGAACTTTCCTATTCCAAAAACAACTGAACAAATTGAAGGCTTTTCAGGACTGTTAGGATATTATAGACGATTCATTAATAACTTCGCGAAATTAACGAAACCACTTACCAAATGCTTGAAGAAGGGTGCACAGATCATCCACGACGAAGAATTTCTATCGTGTTTCTAAACTTGTAAAAATTTACTGATTAACAAACCATTCCTTCAGTATCCAGATTTTACTGAACCGTTCAATTTAACAACGGACGCCTCAAACGTAGCTTTGGGTGCGGTCTTGAGCCAAGGACCTATTGGAAAACACCTTCCAGTAGCGTACGCTTCAAGGACTCTAAACTACTCTGAATCAAATAATTACAGCACAATAAAAAAAGAACTATTGGCTATTGTCGGGGCAACCAAATATTTTCGTCCCTACCTTTTTGGCAGGAAATTTAATATAGTTACGGATCATAAACCACTCCAATGGCTATTTCCAACGAAAGACCAGAGTTCTGAATTGCTAAGATGGCGAATTGAACTTGAAGAATATCAGTATAATATAATTTACAAAAAAGGGTCATCCAATACGAATGCTGATGCATTCCAGAATCCCCTGTAAATTTTGGTCAAAACCAGATTATTGTCCAATCTGTTCTTCAATCTGAACCAAAAATAACGATCTTATTTGAGAAGAAACAGAGAATGACTGTACAGCTTTCTTTAAACAACTTTGAAAGAGACGTAATCGATTTTGTATATATATCGTACCTAATATACCTTATTATCTTTACTTTGAAAATTCAGATAATTATGAACGATTTTGTAAAGTAATTAGACGAAATTTCGAATGGCTTTCATTAAAATTTAAAAGATGTAAAATCAAACTAATTGATGTCACAGATAAAAAAGAAGCTTCAGAACTGATACAGACATATCACGAAAGTGAAAGTGATCATAGAGGCATTGACGAGACCGAACAAAAACTCAAAACCCTTTATTATTGGCCCAATATGAAAGTTTCTATCCAAACCTTTATTAATGAGTGTGAAATCTGTCAACGAAGTAAATACGAAAGACATCCTATCAAAACAAAAATGAATATAACTCCGACAGCTACCAAACCATTCGAAATTATCCACATTGACGTTTATTCTTTAAAAAAAAAATTCTTACTATTATAGACAGTTTTTCGAAATACGCGCAAGCATATTATTTGTCACTTTTATCGGCTACCGATAAAGCTGATAAAATTTTGATATTTTTTTCACATCATGGCGTACCTATCCAAATTATAGTTGACAACGGATCTGAATTTAAAAACACAGATATTGAAGAACTTCTCAAACTGCACAAGGTAAATGTACATTTCTGCTCACCCAATCATCCCCAATCAAACGGACAAATTGAAAGACTTCACTCTACTCTCATTGAACACATTAGACTTCTCAATACTAGAGGATTTCTTAAAACACCGCCTCAAACGAAAATGGTTTACGCTATACTTGCATACAATCACTCAATACATTCTGCAACAAAATTTAAACCCATCGATATAGTTAATGGACATATAACCAATGAAAATCCATTCGATATCGACATAGACAATATTCTTCNAGTAGAACCACAATTCTATGTCTGCAAGAAAATGCCGATTAGAGAAATTTCTGGAAATCTCTGTGAGCTGCAACTCCTGAAGATGGAAGACACTTCCACATGTAGACAAATCGATGTTAGGATTACTAAGCCAATAGCTAACCAACTGGAGGACTCTACCCAATGGATAGCGATATTTCCAAATAAAACGACAATCCACCTACAATGTAATGAACAAGAGGAAGTTCAAAGAATAATTGGATCCTATTTAATTGACATCCCAGTAGGCTGCAGAATCAAAGCGAATCAAATCGAAATAATCAATGAAGAAAATGTAATCAATAGCAATCAAATAATATTGATTCCCGAATTGAACCAAGATCGCAACCCTCCAAGAAGTGTAAATATGAGCTTTCAATTGGACGATGTTGACCTGAAAAAACTCCAAAACCTTAAAAATCAGCTAATTGATAAAAATCCTGAAATAACATTCAACCAAGGTGGACTTTACCAATCACCGAGTATATGAACTTTAGTGATTTACTTAGCGATCATATTAATGATAGTTTACTTCTTGTACAGGAAAAATGTACTTCGATGTTGCACCAATAAGAAGCCAAGTCAAGAAGAGAACCAACTACAAGTAGTAAATAAAGTAACCGATCTATCCACTGTTCAACTACCCCGCTGCGCATGATAGTTGAATCTTCTGGGGGAGGAATTATTTCACCACCTAGGACAATCCCGCTGACCTAGCAGTACCATCACCCTGTTCCAGATGCTGACAAGACATTTCTCACAGGAGCGCACATCTTTGAAGCTTCGCATCCAGAGTCAGTCAGATTTCATTCCTTGAAGTAACACTCATAATTTCATATATTTTGTATCACTATAATTTCTATTTTCAAGTTCTGTAACAATAAAAGTATTTTTAAAAAGCAAGTTTAGTGTCGTCGATAGTTAATTCACTACAGTGACGAAAACCCTAATATTTTTAGAACCCTTGATCACCAGCACAGATGGTCTGTTGATGTGTGGGGTGGAATAATTGGAACGCAAGTTGTAGGTCCTTACTTTTTTTATGGTATTTTAAACGGCGTCATATTTCTTGAATTTATTAGGGATAATTTGCCTATGCTCTTAATATGCCTCCTAATATTCGTCAACGGATGTGAATGCAGCTAGATGGTGCTCCTGCCCACTTTGATAGACGTGTTAGAAACGAGTTAGATCGACAATATCCAAATAGATGATTAGGACGAGAAGGTCCACAGAACTGGCCAGCCAGGTCTCCGGACCTTACAAGTCCCGACAAAAGTATTGTTCACGATACACCGCCAACGATACCTCAGGATATGAAAATAGGAATAAAAAGAGCGTTCCGTTGCATATCACATGATATGTTATCCAGAGTTCAGCACTTATTTCAAGAAAGAGTTCGCCTATCCATCAAGAATAATGAACACTATTTCGAGCATTTAATAAAATAATTAACTATTCAAGATTTTTAATTTTTCGATGAAATGACTTCGAAAATGTTTTTTTTTCTTTTCATAACAATACAGGGTGTTCCATTTTCAAGATAAAAAATTACTCATAAGTAAAACATAATAACGCNTATCTTCTTATCATTTATTTGAAGGTCAATTTCACAGAGGTGATGATTAGAAAAAAAATTGAACACGGCAATTTTCATTTTGAGGATGAAATTTCCCAGGTATATTCCTAATCTTTTCCCATCGACTCCATTGGTGTCTGGAATGAGATGAGACTGGAAATCGAATAATACCCCGTTTGACAGGTCATCAATTCTTCTTTTTTATGCTACATACTTTTTCGAATTGATATAGGAGACATTGGGAAACAAACGTACATAAAAAATATTCCTGAACACGTATATCACACTCATTTCACTTTGAAAGTAATTGTGTATTGATGGTTATCAAGAATTGACTTTCTTGTTCATTATGTATGCAGTATCTGGACATCGATGCTTGCGATCAAACATTAAACACAGTTTTTGCTATTTTTCGTTGGAAGTGAAATGATGAATTATTATCATTTGATTTATTGACATTATTGATTCCACATCAACACCGATAAATATCTTAATCAGTATTTGAGAGAAATGTTCCTAGTGAATGGATCATTCAAAAGGGATCAGTGAAGTGGTTCACAAGGTTAACTGATTTGAGTTAGTTAGATTTTTGTGGAATCAAACAGAAGCTACAATTCATTCAATATATGTATGATGATGAGAATATAAATAATAATAGTCATCTACTGTCTGAGGCCTCTGCTGAGTTGCGTTACCACTTGTCCAAGTAACTAGGGCAAAACCGGATCGGCAGCCCAGGCACACACGGCAGATATAATTTAAACTGACGTCCTATATTTAGATTAGCAGTGAATCGCAAGGAGAGAACCCTTCGTAACAAGGGTTAATGTGTGGGGCTCAAACGAATCATTTGCCAACTCATGACATCCGCAATGACACCAGACCCATTGAGTGGATGCATTAGTTGAGAGATGCCGTGGTAGCGAAGAAAGTACATGGCAAGAAGGTGTGTGCTTTGTGGTGAGAATTGCATCCAGGGCATGCTGCCCTTTCTGGTGACTGGGATGTATAACTTTTCCACAGCTTAGCTGAAGGAGTGGTGCAAGTGGCAGCAGTAGAAGTGGAGAGCAGATTCGCATCATTCCTCATGCTGAAATACACGGAACACGCATTGTGCTGGTTAGTTTGGATGCGAAGATTCATGACGATTTTGAATAAGGTGTGGATTTCAGTGCAGTTTGGTGCTGTTCGGAACTTTGGGAACTGTTGAATACACATGGCTCCATTATGCGTATTATCGATATATTTTTGAGTCACTCAAATTTGAAGCTGAGTGACTACAACGTGAATTTAAATTTCAGTGCAAATTGGTTTTGTTTGACAAAATTATAAAGTACCGCCGTATTTCACCTCCAATGATACCTTCAAATAGTACCTACAATTCCGTGGAAGGTATACTCCATTTGGTCCCAAGAATATTGTATATTAGAACCAAGAAAGAAACGAAGAATATGTTATGAGTTCGAATAAAAGTTGTGGGTTTACTTACATGAGTCTGTGTTAACTCTAGTGAACGATGAAAACGTCAGGAAAATAAAAAAGATGACAACCAACGCAAACAAAATTAATTTTCGTGCGTCAAATTTTCTACCGTAAATTGTCCCTAAAAGAGTGAATAATACAGTTGGTACTGAAATGGCAACTGACGATGCTGACTGGTAAAGAGACTGTAATGATGTCCTGTTTCCATCATCTGCTGGTGCACTGGCATTTCTGAACTTGAACATCCAATACTGAAAACAAATAAGTGCTAGTTATCTGCCACGCTATATAATTTGAAAAAAATTGTATTAACCGATATCCAACTGCTTCGTACGAGGAACTTTCAGAAGACTTCTGCAAATTGAGTGGGGGCCTCACTTCAGTGTACGGTCTCAAAAACACTTGAGGATAGATATATAGTATATTTGGTTAAATCAATATAAAATATATTTCTGAAGGAAGGTTGGCTGGGTAACAGTATCAATTTTTTCTTGAAAAGACAATTGTTCTCTAGTCGACGTTTCAAATTCAATTAAATTTTTCTTCCCCACCAATTTCCGCTTCCCATGACTATGTCGGCTCTTGTAAACAAATCGTACCCCAACAAAATAGGAACCCCATTTACCGGATGTCCCGTTACTGTTTGTGAAAATAATTTTAATGTTTGTCAACTGTTATTGTCTTGTGATTTTCCGGAAAAAGACAAAAGTTTGTTGTAAGACGTACTACTCAAATATGTCGACTTTTTCGGATATACCGGGGCGCACGAACTGTTATGAATACTCCATAATATTGAAAAATTACAACGAATTTTTTATCAAACCGTATCCGATACCAGTAGCACACCGAGTGGCAGTTAATGAAACCATTGCATAGATGGAAAGTTGGGGGGTGATAGAACGAGCATCTACACCTCACATATCTCATCTCATGACCACTTTTAAAAAACATGGTAGCGTTCGAATTTGTCTTGATATAAGACACTTGAACTCTGTTGTGTAAACGGATCGTCAACTTCCAAGGCGCATTGAAGACATTGTCTGTTGAATGGAAAAAAGTTTCTGTCAAAGATCGATCTTTCTAACTCTTACTGGCAGATACATTTGAAACATGAAGATCGAAAATATACCGAATTTATAATAGGAAATAAAACTTATCAGTTTTGTGTTCTGCCATTTGGGATTTCAACAACGGTTAGCTCTTTTACCCGGGCAATTTCCACCATCTTTGGGGAAAAGTACGATGACTTTTTGCTCACATATATTGACGACTTGCTCGTGATGTCAGATTCGTTCCAGGATCATTTGATACATTTAGAGAGAGTGTTTTCAAGGTTGAAAGAAGCGGGCCTAACTATAAAAGGAGAAAAATGCCGCTTCATTCAAAAGGAAATGCATTTTTCAGGCTACATCGTGACGTTTACCGACTCCATCTGATAAGTGTTTTCAGCTTCATCAATTGAAGCTCTCGAAACTTTTGATAGGTACACTGAATAGAATTGTAAAGTACCAGAGTGAGGATGTATACCTCCCAGAAATTATAACCAATCTTCCATTAGACCTGGATTTACAAAAAAAGTTCGTGTGGAGGCACTTCTTATATACTAGTGGTTTTAAATGTCTTCACGAAATAAGTGACATATTACCCCTTGAAAAAAGGGACTTCTAGGACCATATTAAATCGACTGACAACTAACTATTTTCCATTACATGGTCCGCCTATGCGTATCTTACATGACAACGCCACCCAATTTACTTCGAAGATTTGGAAAAAAATATTGTCTGACTTAGGCATAAAACTAGTATTCATATCGGTCAGACATCCCATAGCTAATCCCTCTGAACGCTGTATGCGAGAAATTGGTAGGATATTGCGGACCTATTGTCATAAACGTCATAGTAAGTGGACTTTAGACATAGCTCCATTTCAGAATTTTTTATATCTTTGTATGATGGGTTGCTTGTAACAGCGATCCTCGCTATGTCTAAAAACCTCGCATCTATCGGAATGTACAGAAAAACCGCCATCGTTTTTATATCGGAAACTATTTTATTGAATTGCGTTGGCAGAGAGAGATTTGTTGAAACGAAGTAAAAGTCCGTGGTTTCATTGTTACCCACGCATTAATCATGAGTACGATTATTACATTTAGAATAGAAAAGTTTAAAACTCAATCTTTTAGAATATTTAGAAATCAATAGTTTCAAGAATTCGGGTAATTTACTGAATGATCAATCAAAATTGAATAACTCCCCGTTACTAAATATTTTTTCAAATGTGGAACTGGGACATAAGCTCAGGAAATTAAATTCCTTACAATGTAGTTGAAACTCAGGTACTCAAAATATAGGTACTTCAAATTGTAAAATAAAATATATCAAACATTGAAAATGTAGACTATAGTCAGTAAAAACACGCCCGAAAAAAACATTGTAGGGCGAAACGTGTTGCGTTTTTGTAAAGCTGTTAGTGAAAATCTCACAAATTCCATCATATATAATAATTCAATGAATCATTAGAGCTGAAACAAACTTCTTTCCAAGGAAAATTTCGGAAATGGTCTTGAAGATCCTCCTACTCAGCAGATCTGTGATGCCAAAGTTATCCAGAAATAGATTTAAAGCTGTCAGTGAAAATCTCACAAAAAAGTATTTGTTGAATACGTTAGTTACGAGTTTTTATCAAGTATCGGCCAATTCCATCATATATAATAATTCGATGAATCATTAGAGCTGAAACAAACATCTTTCCAAGAAAAATTTCGGAAATGGTCTTGAAGATCCTCCTACTCAGCAGATCTGTGATGCCAAAGTTATCCAGAAATAGATTTTTGTTAGTATTGCTATCTAAATAGAAAATACAGATTTTTGGTTTGCTTTGGTTCGGTTTGCCTACCAACCTTGGATCCCGGGTTCGAATCTGGTCTAAAAAATTAATTTTTTTAATTTTTTCTCATAAGTAGGTATAGAACTGAATTGAAAATATTTGGTGGTTTACGCGATGAAATTTGAAAACCGATTGTTTATACCAAAACAATATGATATCATAGCTAAATCAAGAAAGCCTCTGACAGCAGTGATTCGTGCCGTGATTATTGGGTGTTATTAAAGTTGAGCAAACAGACGTATAATGGGTACATTATATAATAATCGTGGATAAAATTGTTTAGAGCGGCAAGGAAAGTATTTTGAGAATTTGGATTCGAGTATATTATTATCCTTGTCTTAAAGTTAGTAACAATTGAATAGAATCATTCGTTATTGTTTGAATATTTTTTTATTTTGATATTTTGTTTTGTTACCCGCTCATGTAACAAAATCGGAATAGTTCTCAATGTTTATATGTTTTGTGTTTCATATACCATTATCAGTATTTCATCCATTTTGCTTGGTTTCATTTGTTCTTTTTGTTAAACATATTTATTTGAAATCTCAAACTTTCGTTTTCACTTCAATTGAGAAAATGCCTCCGAAATAAAAAAAAATTGAAAACTGAAAGTTGTGGAGTCTCAATCGAATAAGGTAAGAAGTAAAAAGGCAAGAAGAAAATAATGTTTCAAAAATTAAAATTCAGTTGAGGTATCATCCAGTTTCGTTCTGGTCACAAATAGGGGAGTGAGTACTACATGAAGGAGGTATCAGATAAAAAGATTTCATAACTTCTGCCTTAAAGCTCTGTACCGGATATCACAAAAATAACGTTTCAAATAACATTTTATTGTGAGATTTTCAATGAACAGTCTACAAAACTGCGACATGTATTTCACTATGTAATAGCTTCTTCGTATAAACACCCTTGAAAAAAATCATTGTCTATCGAAACACGTGTTGGCGATCTGTAAATTGTTTTCTGAAAAGTGTTACTCAAATACAACCACAAAATAGTTCTATCAGATTGAATAAGTAGAGATTGTATTAGGTGGCCTCCACTGTCATATAAATAATAAGTTACTGAATGTCAAAATATTTTTGGCAGAATTTCAAAATTACAAAACAACTGTAGAAAGACTTTCAATAATATGATTCGCGATTTGGAGAGAATAACATCACAATGAAACATGTCAAGAGATAAATATTTCATTAGTCATTATCGACGTATGAGGTTTCATTCAATGTAATGATGATATTTGTACTCACATTAGTTGCTGTTCCGATAAATATCATTGGCATCAATGTCATAAATCCCATGAAGAAAAAGAAAATAAAACATATTGAAAAAGCATCCTTTGGTGCATTCTTGATTTTCTCGGCAAATCTTTCATCATTAGATTTCGGAGTTGATAACACAGAAATTAGAGATTCTGCAAAGTTAATTCCTATTGGATGTCGATACAAATAATAGGTTACTTGTGTTAATTAACAGAAATCTTCAATAAACCAACAAACTGCTTTTTCAACATACAGGGTTTCGCTCTTTCAGACAATTATTTATGTTATAGCTAACGAATAGCCTACTTTCGGAACAGAAAATGAACATCCAATTGTTTTCATATAGATTCATAAAATTATAAATTATTGGTTACTAACTAAACGGTTTCATTTAGCTTGCCCTATTTGTTTGTGTTCGGGTCAAATTCAGTAATTGAAGTTTGACCTCTTTCCTGTCGACAGATTGATCTGAAATATAATTTTGATGACAATATAATTTGATAAATTCTGTATCACTGTAAATCCAAGATGGCTGCAGCTACAAAATGGCGGACTACTAGTTTAACAACTACCTCAATATGGGTATCAAATGACAGGGCTTGACTAGTAAAATAGTAGTACACTCTGAAAAAGATGTAAATTCAAGATGGCCGTAGCTACAAAATGGCGAATTATATATTGTTACACAACTACCTCAATATGGGATTGGTTAGTAGAATAATGGTACACTGTGAAAATGGCGGATTACATATTTTTTTACAACTACCTCAATATGGGTTTCAGAGGACAGGACTTAACAAGTAGAATAGTGAAACACTTTGAAAAAGATGCATATTCAAGATGGCTGCGGCTACGAAATGCTGAATTACTAAAATGTTGAAAATGAAATGGTTGAAAAAAATCAACTATTTTGAAAGGTTTTATTGAATAAAAAATATAAATGATCCAGATAATGTACTACACAATGAGTCGGAAGGTCCTAGGTAGCAGTTATTATAACACTCTCCTCAGCAATCTACGGTATCGATCATATAGAAAAATAATAAAATCGCTGGGCGTAGTATTCACATATTTACTCAGGTTACAGTTTTTTAGTACATTATCTACATCATTATTTTTTTTTTAATAAAATCGTTTTTCATAATATACATACATATACATATTTTATCTCTCTCAATGTATTAAAAGAATAAAATAGTTGAAGACTATTCAGCAGTTACAGAGTTTTAGAGAGACCTGTTTAATCATTCAGAAGAACATGAATTGGTGGTCTTATTTCATACAAATTCTCAAAATTGGATTTTTTTTCTAGAAATGATCTCAAAATACGTATTTCCTTAATTAACTATTTCGAATCAATCATAAAACTTGTGTCCAATAATTTTAAAAATATCCAGGTTGAGGTGAAAAAAAAAACTTATCTCGTGCCTCTCATGTAAACCTACGACTTTGTAGGTGAGTGCGGCGACGGAAAAACAACAACCAACGCAGCTAATGCCGCGTAGAAAGCTGAAAGCTGATTGATCGGTACGACCGATGGATAGACCGGTTTCGGGGTACTTGCTTCATCATCAGTACTGGGCACGGCACACGGCACGGCACGGTACCGGTGAATGTGGAGGTCACTTGAATTATTAACTTTTTGGGGCACTAGATTGTGAAAAGAGAAATCGAATGGTCATCAGATTTGTCGTTGCTTGATACGTTATGGGAAAAGCTGAATAGTAAAGTCTACCGTTTTTCTACGAATGTTTTCAAATCACTTCGAAAATGCTCTCCTCAGTAAGCTGAAGCATTTCAAAAACTATACTCAAATCAAAATGGGCTTTGGGTAGTTACTAGTCTGAATATTCAATCAACTAGTTGGAAGTGAGCATCCATATAGACCTTATATGAGATTCTGTTCGTCAGGTTGCAGTCACTTACGTTTTTGGCGGCTCAGTGCAAAGAAAACTCTTTGAGATCTGTCAAGTGTTTGACAGTATTTAGTGTCTTCTTCGAAAAAGACAATTGTAGTGAATGATGTTATAGAATATAAAAATGTAGTTTTATAAAAAAAGGGTGATATTTGAATGAAATTGGTTACAAACTGAAAAAATATCAATCAGTCATATTTTCATGATAGCTTTATTCGAGAATTTAACCAAAAGTCACAATTACAAGAACAAGAAACAAGAAACATATTGAATGTTAATTGAAACAACAACTCATTACCGGAACAAAAGTCATTAGCCTTACATGAAAATGGTTTGGTTACGTTTTCAGTATTCATTGAAAAGTGATATTTACGTATCATCTGAAATTATTTCAAGCTGAAATAACAATTGAGAATTCAGTAATGGTTTCTTGAATTCATCAAAGTTTTTTTAATTCTTCAAACAATTATATATTTTACAACTCTCAAAAAACTTTCATGTCATGCACATAAAAAATAGCTACAAGCATTTGCACTATTGGGACTTCATACTGCAAGTCTCATGTTGTAAAAATAATATATAGAAATTGTATAGATGTCACCATGAGGTACTCAACCCTTGTAATTTCCATGGGAGTTCCCACATATGTTGAAAACTTGAGTTAAAAATGACAATTGCCTATTTCAATTCGGGAGAAATTGTTCTGAATCAAATTTAGCAAATGTATGAAAAATATTTCTTCTTACCTCTTCTCAAAATTTCAATATGTGGCGACATGATCAAGTGATATTACTTGATAAATCTCTCACCAGTTTCAAAAAAACATTTTTCAATACAAATTACCGACAACAATATGAATGGCCATTCAAATTTTATCTACTTTCACTCGATTATTTCAATGAAGATTACATTGATATCGCTTAATTCATTCTCTATGTACTCCATTAGAACAAATTTCATCAAACGATGCATTGATCGCAATTGAAAATTCGCACTCTATTTATATCGGCTTTTTTCACGGTGAAGATCTCATCAGAGATACTAGGCCATATCATGGCTATAACATCTAAACTCATTCTGACCCAAAACAAACTGAGTGTGGAGAGAAGGTGATTTCCGTTGACAAAAACGTAATCTATAGGATCGACAGACCATTTATTACCACCCATCAAAGATGGACCAGTATAGATGTTTTATTGAGGGGTATAAAGAAGCTATAGAAAATTTTTAGGCGCAAAATTATAAAATTATAGAATGAAATCAGTATCTTCGTGCATACATTTATGAAATAATTGTGTTTAGAGAATGCACTAGAATATGAATTGTCATTGAGGTGTAACAAAGGAATATTTCAACAATATACTGTATGAAAAATGAAGTTATTTTTCATTTATATAAAAAATATTCATTTATTCATCAACTTCTATCTTGTCTCCTTACATCTTGTTGATACAAGTAGATATACTTGTATCAACGATTTGGTTTTTATCTCCTCAATGGTCACAAAACGTTGTCCACAACAAATAACACATGTATAGCACACATGTTATTCATTACGAGAAAGCTACTGTGATATCGAAACATGAATCATATTGCCCGTTCCCATGTGAACCGCTGACCATGCTGAAGCAGAATCTCGCGATTCTGGGAAACTGATGTGCAAGCATTCTTATCTTCATGGGAAGAATACTTTTGTAATTCAGTTATAATTTTGCTCTCATACTGTTAACATCAATTTTTGTTAATAAAATTAGTTTTTAAAAAAGGACTTTGACATCCGAAAGTTATATTTCATGTGATATTTTTGGAAATAAAGTTTGTGATGACCAAATTGTTTTCGGTGTAGTTTGTGAGCTTTATCAATTTTGTAACGAACTTCGCGAGCATATGCTTCTCTAATGATAATTTAACGATTTTCCGTAACAATTTCCTTCACCTTCTCCAGATTTTCATCGTTTGTTGATGTGCTGAGGCGTTCGGGGCGAGCGTCCTCATTCACATCTTTTCAACCTCATGTGAAAAACTTCAACCACGCTTTTATTAGCTTCACTTGTATGTTTGTTTGTTGTAACCGTCACCTTTGGACTCGACTTTGACTAACTTTGAACGGACAGATGTATTTCAAACTTTGTATACTTATCAAAAATCAGTGACAATACAATAATTTCATAAGTTTATCTCATTATCCTGATCAGCATCGCCAGGATCAGGATCACTTGCTCTCTCACAGAGACTGTGTGAGGCAGGTGAGACAACCACACTGCCCTATAAGTCTGAAATCAGAATAAATCTATTTACAGAAACAATCAATTTTGTTGTAAAATAGCGTGGGGTGCTTTTCCATTGTTATAAATATTTGGTACGGAGCTGTTTGCTAGATTGGAGATATAATTCAAAGCATCTCACGCTTTTTTCCAACAGAATGATTTTTTTTGCAAATAGATTTATTCTGATTTCAGATTAGTTACATCAAGCCATAGGACTTATTATCGATGTTGAACACAATTTTAAAATAGTTTCGACTTATGCTCTAGTTTGTGTTGCTGTTAAAGCGTGTTTTTTTCAGTTTTTTGAACTATTATTTATTTCTGACTCAGAGTACAATCACCGTATGCCACTGTAAACATTTCCAGTATTTTTGAGCACCTAATCTTTGATCCATTTTTTTTAGCAAAATATAGCCGACCACGCAAAACACTTCTGAATTTTATGCCTCTCAACAATAAACTAAACATGCTAAATAGCTGAGATTGTGAACATATGTTCGAGACGAGTGTACCAACTTAAATATAAAATGGCCAATAAAATATTTGTAGTCCGCGAAAATTGAACATTGTTACTCTTAGTTCCGCAGAAAAAAGTCTATCATACGTTGAAATAACGAAAAATAATAATAATTTTTGTGGGCTGGCGAAGACAAATATGGAGACATATGTCAACTCATAAATTATATGAGCAGTATTGGCGTGGCTGAAAAAATTCCATGCAGAGGTACGAAAAGCGGCTATAAGCTATATGGAGGAGCCAATGTCAAGGCTTTAGAGTGCAAGAGTCGCAGTGAAACAGGGCGCATGCCAGCTTCCCTATCAATCTTATCTGACCTGCTCAGATACGTGAAACCCAATATCAATTGATTATCATCATTAAGTAATTTCAATGTGTCTCATAAAAAGTGTCTTGAATACTCATTCAAATTTACTTAATTTAGGTTTTATTTCATAAAAAAGTTGGAATTTTTCTGAGCATCAGAAATGAAACAAAAAAATTTCCGAGGTGTGTAGTTTCATGTATTCGGAACGTTTGGATGAATCTTTCAAAGTAACAGGTGAAGAAGCTTTGTTTATTCAATAAATAAATATTTTAAGTCGAACGTAATATATACAGAACTGAACATTAACCCATAATGTCATACTAACCATAAAAAGCAGCCTAACATCGTCTTTTGGGGCGGCGCATGACATACTTCCACTCTAATCATCAATTACCAGTAATTGTCAAAAATATCCTTCAATTAAGTGGTTGGTAGTATAGTAACGTGAATCAATACCGAGCATACCGAGTATACAAAAAAATATCTTGAATTCTATTACTTTATATATAGTAACCCGTTTCTTGGATCGCACTTCCATTGTGAAACGTAAACTTCAATAACAGTAAATACTTCGTGGTCGCTGTTCTTTTTTTATTTACAACCAATACTGAGGTTTGGAACATAAGTGAAAAACAATAGCAGCAATTAAAATAATATGTTTATTCGAAGCTTTTTTCTTGGTATGTTATTAATAATATGAAGGGGCGTTCAGCTCCATTCCTCAATAGTGTTGACCAGTGTATACAAGCTCATTTCTGTTTTTGGTCAACAGATCGTGTTGAACTGATAGTTCAACACTCTTCTGAAATATAAACTTTTTAAAGTTAATCAAATATGAAGGACATATTACTGAATTTACCCAGAAATCTTACTGCGTTTGAATAAAATTCAGATAGGTTTTCCAACCTCTCTCTTCACCTTCATTGTTCAGCAAACAAAATTAAAATAAAATTGTGAATGAATAAATACTCCCCTTGGAAGACGTTTCGAAAAATTCCTCTGATGCCTTTCTCGAATGCTAAGCAAAATTTGATTAGAATCGCACAGATGAAGTAAATGACAAATTCCTAATAATTTGATATAGATGGTTAGTTTTTGCATACACAGTACACTGAATGTTTAATTTTGCTTAGTATGAAAATTTCCCAGTTCGTCTTCTTTTCTATAGTATAACAATTTTCAATTGAAGGTAACTCATATACAAATTGAACTGAGAGCTAACAACAATGTTAAATACTAACCGATTATT